AAAGAGGCATCTCTGCTGAGGCTCTCTGGTATGAAAGCTACCAAGAAGGAATCATAGAATCATTTGAGTTGAAAGGCACCCTTAAAGATAATCTAGTCCAACTCCCCTGCAATGAACTGGGTCACCTACAGCTAGATCAGGTTGCTCAAAGACCTGCCCAGCCTGACCTTCAGTGTCTCTAGGGGCAAGGATTGAACCACCTCTCTAAGCAGCCTGTTCCAGTGCCACACCACTCTGGCTGTAAGAAGCTTCTTATATCCAATCTAAATCTTCCCTCCTTTAGTTTGAAACCATTCCCCTTTGTCCTATTGCAGCAGACCCTGCGGAAGAGTCCATCTGCTTCTTTATTATACCCCTCTTTAGTTACTGAAAGGCTGCTCTCAGGTCTCCCCAGAGCCTTCTCCAGGCTGAACAGCCCCAGTTCTCAACTTGTCCTCAAAGGAGAGGTGTCCCATCCCTTGGATTATTTCTGTGGCCCTTCTCTGGATGCGGACTCCAACAGGTCCATGTCTCTCCTGTACTGAGGACTCCACATCTGGATGCAGTACTCCGGGTGAAGCCTCACCTGCACAGAGGGGCAGGATCATCTCCCTTGCCCTGCTAGCCACACTTCTTTTGATGTGGCCCAAGATACAGCGTATTTTCTGTGCTGTGAGGGCTGCATAAAGTCCAATTCGTGCTTGGTCTGAGCTGTCTAATAATTGGATGAGATTAACCCAATGGGAAAACAAGGTGAGGTGGGGTGTGGGGAGCCAGGCTGCCTGCAGTCCCTGCCTGTAGCACTGTGTAAAGCTGTCATTTCATCAGTGGTGGTGTCAGAAAAAACACAAGTATGGCTGTAGCAAAGCTGGGACCGATGGGGAAGAGGTTGGGTGCAGGTTGTTTATTTGAGTGTGGGAGCAGCAGTGTGAGAGTGGCAAAAAGGAGGACCTGAATGCTGAAGAATGAAGAATGAGATTTAAGACCCGCCAGAGACGAGCAGAGGACAGGTCTGCCAGCAGCAGGAGTGCCAACACCTACAACTGGTAGTAGTGCTGACCTATGCACAAGCGCTGGAGGACATCTGGAGCCACTGACTGGGCTCCCCATTGTGTTGGGGTGGGGGAATAGGCCTGCCACTCAGCATGAACAGAACTGCAGCTCGGTGTAGTGGTGCACCCCCGGACCACTGCGATCTCAGCAAAGGCCACCACTGTGCTTTCCTTTGATCAAGTGCAGAGTTGGGCTCCTGGTCATTGTCTGATCTGAGAGGTACAAGAACTGTACAGCAGCAGGCTGTGGTCCTTGACCTTCCCCTGAGCTGGGACACCACTCAGGTACACTTCTTATGACTTGCTGCTGACTGACGTCAAAGAAGAGGAGCCCTTTTGAGACAGATTGCCTCATCTGCTGAGAGCTCATGAATGAAGAGCGGATAATTCACCAGAAGAAAGGTGCGCAACTGTCTTTAGAATTCTCCTCTTGAATACCCTGCATGTGAGCTTCAAGTCAACCTCACTGTTTTCAAATCTTCAACTAGACATCTATGATTGTAGTATGCGCTATTGAAACTTTGTGTTAAGTTGGCTAATAATTAAATGCTGATTAAGTAAGATAAATGCTGGCTACTAAGAATCAAATAATCTTGTGATTTATTGTAAAGGTATTATCAATTCATAAATTGCTGCTAAATCAGAGTTCTGTAAAAACCTATTCCCAGCAGTTGGTGCTGGAGGTGTGTGTGATTGCATGGATCCAAGATCTGCTCATAACTTCCTGCTGTGCAGTGCTCTTGTAATTATGTCACCGAGTCACTGTTACTTAAGATTACTGATTACTTTTCTGTTTTCCCACTTTCCTTGTAGTGTGTTCATCAGCCAATAAACAGTTTGCCTCAAGTACGTTTTGAGTAATTGCTCTGACAAGGGAGAGCCAAAGCTTGGCAGTCACAAGCTGTGAGTGTGGCCCATGCTGCAGAAGTGCTGTGTGCCACAAGCCTTCCTCCAGTGTATCTGGGCATCCCAGGGAGCACATGTAGGGCAGCGAGGCCTGGATGCCACGTATCCAGCAGTGCTGTGATTAGTGCGCCTGTGTGCAGAAATCCCTGTGTAGAGCAGTGAGGCTGAAATTCCCCAAACAGAAACCATCCAGGCTCCAGACGGAGCACTGGAACAGGCTGCACAAGGGGGTTGTGGAGTCTCCTTCTCTAGAGATACTCATGACCCGCCTGGACACCTACTTGTGCGACCTCGTGTAGGGAACCTGCTTTGGCAGGGGGGTTGGTCTCAGTGATCTCTGGAGGTCCCTTCCAATCCCTATGATTCTGTGATTCCTGTGGGTTCCCAAAGCACTGCCATTCTGTCTCATGTTAGAGGGGCACTGGGAGCCTGGCAGGGTGGGCACAGCACATTGATTTTTGGTGAGAAAGAGTCTCCAGGTGCCTTCAGAGAACAGCAGTCCCTCAGCAATAGTGGTAGTAGCTTTGTAGAGAATAGCAACTTCAAGGAGAGCAAGAAAAGAGCTGGGACTTTCCTAGAGGTTGGGTCTTACCCAAGGGTAACAATTCTTATTAAAAAGAAAGAAAGAAAAAAAAAAAAAAAGATGAAGCGTAAGAAGGAAATTCTCTAGCAGTGTAATCTTATGTTTTCCATGAAGTATCCTAGAGGCAAAATAATCACACTTCTTGCACACCAGTCGCTGTTCAGGGTGCCCCTCTTTGCTGCTGTAAATTGCTGGGCACGCTGTTGGTGATGGGCAAAACCCAGCTCTCTCCAAGGCTCATGCACTGAACTTTTTCTGAAGAATATCCTCAAGTCCACCCTCACTAATATTCAAAGGCACACCATGTGCAGTCGGTAGATGGCACTGAACTATTACTTGTACTTTCTTTCCAGTTAAATCAGAGCACACTGATTGGCGGCACATAGAAACCATCAGCACTCGTTCCATAGCAAATGACAGAGGTTCTGACCCCTGCTGGAGCTGGCAGGTGGGACCCTCACTGCCTGCAAAGACACACTGTGTCAATAACCAGCACATGAAAATGGCTCCCTACATGCCTTAGTCCAGTTTGCACAATCACTTTTGTAGCCAAAAGCAGGGACGTATTACCAGAATACTGCTTTGGAGGGGATGCATCCTAAGTAAATTGAAATAATGCTACAAAGCTTTTTTTATTTTTATTTTTTTTTTTAATTCCTCCATGTCATGCACCAATCCTCATGCATAAGCACCACATATCTTGGATGCCACACATGAAAGTGGAAGCATGCACTTTTCCCCTCAGAACAGCTTCACTAGAGCTGCCCAGGGGCAGTACTGCAAAGGATAGACAAAACCTCGAGCTTCCCCTTGGGTAGCTGCACAGCAGCCCCAGGCTCAGAGCTACCTGAGAAGCCAGAGCAGAGCTTGAGGGGAAAGTCTTACCATCTTCCTCCCCCACCCAGCTGCCACCCCTTTCCCTACTGGGGTGTAGGGATAAGGGCAGCCCCCTCTTTGGCCCATCCTCTCCCCAGAGCTCCCCCTGGGTAGGACTGCAGCACACAGAAGACAAGCAGCAGCCAAGGGGATAATAAGACAAACCCATCTGCATCTCCAAGGAGTGCTGTGCAGAACAGCTGCTTCATCCACCCCCGTCCCCCATTCCACAGCCCGACACAGAAGAGCTGCTGGTGGATGCCTGCTGTTGCTGGGAGAATATAAATAAAAATGTGGTTGCCTTTTTCCACCTGGGCAGGCACCAGACTGACGTCAGCTGTTCTAAGCTCACTGTGGTATGTGGTTGACCTTTTCAGTGCACATTTCAACACACGCTGCAAAGCTTCAACACACACTGCAGAGCATTCAGCATCGCACTGAGTTCGGTCCATCACTCACAGCTGGAAAAGTGACCCTGCTCCTACAAATACTAAAAAGTAAAGCTCTCATCTCACAATAAAGTCACTCAAATCTAACAATGAAAGTTTATTAAAGTCTTAGAAACAGGAAAATGTGTCCTCAAGACCTTTGAGTTTCACAGGCAACAGTGTTCTTTCCACGTGTAGCTCCCACTTCTGCCTGGCACCTAGGGATAACTGGAGATGTTTCCCAGCCAGAGCTTCTTCAATGTTTCTCAAAGAACACAAAAGGAGCAGCTTCCAGGGGGGCATTCGGGCACTATTAGCTCACCACTAAACCAGTTTTTTAAGTTGTTCGAGTACAGAAAAGGATGCATTATAAACACAACCTTGGCCAGCTGGCTGATGGAGCAGTGCTGTCCCTGACATGGCAGCTGCCACTCTCAGCAGCATTTCACAATTTAAACAACAGCTCAAAGCATTGGAGGCTTCTGCTGAATCAAGGACTACAGAAGTGCACATGGACAGCTTTGCTAAGAGGCATGGAGTGCTGACTGACAAGTGGTGGCCATCCACTTGGCTACCTACTTGTAGCTTACAGCACAAAACCGGAGTCTTTTCAGTAACAGTTCTCCCTCCTCCTTTTAAAGAAATGGTCATACCTGACTCAATTGTAGAAGACTAAATGTTCTGCTACTGACAACACCTTTTCACATTCTCTTTGATTCCCACGCAGAGAACAGTCCTGCAAACAGAAGGGACTGCTTGTGGCCAATGTCAGGTGCTCGAGCATCTTACTGGGCTGGGACTAAGGCTGTCAGCTCGTGGCACGCACAACCAGGCACTGCAGAAGTTAGAAGAAAAGAAATGAGACGACCAAAAAAAAAAAAAACCCAACCACTCACCATACCTAATTATGGACTGTCACTTTAGATGCTTCTCCCATTGGGAAGTTAGTCTCCACGTGTTCAGTAGGAAAAGGAAATGCATCCTTTTCTCCAATGGAAAGGTGCAGGAGGCAGAAAAACTGGTTTTCTTACTTCATCATCAAAGCCAGATGCCCCTCAGTAGAAGTGTTTGCTCCAACTGCAGCTCTTGCTCAGAAAAACGTGCTGGGTTATCAAAATGCTGCATACCAGACTTACCTAACCAGTATTTGTTCTCAAAATTACTAATTAATGTGGAAAATAAATGCCTTCAACAGAAACAGTGGCTAAAATATTTTATTTTTTATATCATAGAACATACTGCTGTTTGATTTAAATCACTTTAGAGTAAAGGCACACATTGTTAAAAATACTTCAAATTACATTACATGTACAAACGCATGAAACAGATGTACATGTCACCAAAAAAATACAGTATGGCTTCGTAAGGCTGAGGCAGGGCTGGGACAGTTCAACAGAGTTAAGTTTTACAGGATGCTCTAACACTGAGAAGACTGACTAGAACAGAAAAGAATGGACCTAAAACACTGATTGTTACACAGACGGTACAACACATCGGATACACAACACTGAGCAGTCGTGTTTGGATTCACAGGACTGATAGTTCTGCAAATCCATCGGGCTTTCAAGTGCCACTGAGCAAACAGTGCATACGTACAACCTCTGCCAGTTTGCAACAGTGAGAAGAAACTGCAAGACCTGTCCCCAGACAGCCTCCTTCATATCTGCTGATGATATGTTTAAAAAGAAAGAAGAAAAAGTGAAACAAAGACTCAAGATAGTAACTGCTGATAATGACCGATTAACAAGCAGCCAGCTTACACTTCTGGCTAAAAAGCATATGATGTCAAGTCTGCAAGAATGCTCCATGACAACTGTCTAGCATTAGTCCCACCCGAGTTTAAGGCTCATGTCTAAAATTTACCTTAGATTTGCTTTCCTTTGTGTAAAATTACCTGAGCACAGATATCAAAGATCTACAGAGCTTTCACAATATCTGCAGATACCTTAAAAACCAGTAGGTATCTTAAAGCAAGACACTGATATATTTTGAACACTAACAGCTAAAAAGACCTCAAAATAAAAATAACCCAAACAAAACCAAATTCAAAGCAAAACAAAAAAACAAGAAAACGACAACAACAATCTTTTGGTATGTCAGGAGAGCCAGGAGAAGCTCAAGCTCCTGCTTTCATCTCTTAATAATGTATGTAACATGGAATAGAATTATTCAAATAGGACTGCTTATCTGTAAACAATTCATTAAACCTTTACAAAAAAAAGTTAGGAAGCAAAATGGAGGCAGTCACTCCAGTCTTCTATAAAGATTTCATCAGTGTGGTTTTCAGTCTCACTAGAGACGGCTGGGGCTCCTCAAGCACTGACTGATGGAAAACGAGAAGAACCTGACTCCATCCTACTCTGTATCACCATCACATTTTTGTGTTCATGAAGTATGAACTGCTGCCATTCTCATTTGCTCAGGTTTATTCCCTGCACAGCTCTAAGGCCCAGGTCCAGAAACACAGCACGCATTGTCTGAAGTGCTCTGCAGGACTGGGTTTGATTTCATAGGTTTAAAGAACACATACTTCAGTCATTTGCTGCAAGGGCTCTCAATGTTTGCAGAGTGTGAGGCATAAGAGCATCAGGCTGCATGGACAGATCAGCTCCCAGCAAAGTCACTGCCATCGCAGAGCAGGGCCTGGCAGGTACACATACAGGCCTCCAGCCACCAATAGGCTGCGTGGGATGATCTCCAGCACAAGGCTCTGGCCATTCACCCTGTTGAGAGCAGTCTGTTGATTTTATTGAACCAATTGAAAGCAGCAAGGAAACACAAAAGTACAACGTGTTGTTTTCCTCCTCTTGCTTCACACACTGGTTCTCATCTTTCAGTCCCGAAAGCAATCAGTAAAAACAAAAACCCCACTTTAATCAGTGAGCAACTGTATGTGAGCCTGAGGAGCAAATGGGACTCTTCTGTTCAAATACATCAGGTTAAAACTCTGATATGCCAATCAAAGCTGTCTGCACTGTGGAACTGGGAGCAGCTGATTGCAGAGGGCACTTTACAATCATCAAAAACCCCGTATAAATGGTACCAAACCTCCTATTACATATCAGCCTAAATGATAAAAGAGATGGGTGACAGATGGCTGTTCTGGAAAATCTTAAAAATCACAGCAGTCTGACGTACCCATTATTCTATGTATAAATAGCAGGTAACCCAAATAAAATGCTATCGCCAGTTTGAAAAACTAAGTTGAACACTGCTTTTCTATTAAATAGATTAAAATATTCATCCACTGAGAAATTACATTGATAAATAAAATATTTTCATGTATCAAAAATGAGGAGCAGGTACGATCAATTCCAGACTTCTTGTCCCGATAACGAAAGGTCCGAGAAACAAAACCTGTACAGTAGTTCTAGTCTCAAATTTACAATACTGAATCCAGCAGGATTTGGCTAAACAATACACTTTAAATAACCTAATCTAAAGGAACAGAGTGTCCTGTAAACATCTGACACATTGCATTCTGATGGCGTGGCTCTACCTTCTCTATGCAGAAGACAATTCAACTGGTGGTGGTAAGGAGGGATGCAATCTAAAGGCAGCATTTCCGTTCTTCAGTAAGGCTTGTAAAAAAATCCGAGTGGTGAACATACGGCAGCCTGTACAGTTCTGACATTTTTGGAAAGCTTTCAAGTCTTTAAAAAGCCTAAATGTTTTTAAGTATAAAACACACATTGAGAAGACGCCCTTCTGAATTATGTGTAAAGTGTCTGGCACCAGAAATGACCGCTAGGTATTATTATACCCGAGGAAAGAAAATAAATCACTCCAGCAAGTGTCCCTGAATTTCACAGCAGATGCAGCCAATTTGGTTACTTGGTGTTCTGTTCTCCTGGAAAAAAAGTCACGAGCATACACTCCTTAAGCTGTCTGTATTACATCATCATTAATATATATTATATATACACACACCTTACAGATATATATAATATATATTTGTGTACGTATTACATTTGCCTCAATCTGGAATCATGTGGTTTCATGCAACGCACCAGGAATCAAACTTACTCATCAGATCATAGCTGGTGTAAGTTCAGTATCAAATCTTTTATTATACAGCAATTCAGCTTTGCTCCGCACCCATCGCCTCTGAGTAGAATCCTCATTTCCTTCTTCTTTCAGTCCGGTTCACGTTTGTTGCCTCCATCGCCTTTTTCAGCCACTTTCTTCACGTTGTGCCTCCACTTAGGTTCAATGCTGAGACCTTATTTCTGTCAGCTTCTGAAGATAGCTCTGTGCTGCTGGCATCGAGAGAATAAACTGAACTGTCCTTTGACCTATTCGGTAGCAGCCATAACCCATCAGTCCAAAAACTGTTGCTTTTATGACAAATTTGAAAATCTTACTTGAAGCTGATGGAGGAGGCACACTGCAGCAAAAGAGACATAAAACAGTGGTGAACATCTGCAGAGCTGGAACGAACAGGCATCTGAGAAACGTGCATGTTTTGATTCAGATGACTTCCAAAGTCATTTTGCAACACACGAAGATCTACAGATCTAAAGATCTGTAGAAATGTTAAGAACTCCACCCTGTCAGTAGATGGCAATCACTAACACAAAGACGTAACTGCTCTGCAACTGCAGTGCAGCAGCACAAACTGAGAAAGACTGCAATGAGAAGAATCTTAGCATAGTAATCTTTCAAATGTAATTTGCTTCATATTGTTTTAAAAAGTGAAGTTAATGCACTGCTCAGCTCTTAGGAAAGATACTGGTAACTCTTCCACTTAGTTGTCCTAAAGCACTGCAGGCCCTACCCATATTACCCGGTCACGCTGCAATCCCTCATACATTTCATAAATCCCAGCCTCTGTGGCTTTACAGGACACAGTCTGAACAGTTTCTTCTTTTATAAAGCACATACACCTATTTTATCAGTTACACTGGAGCGAAAATCTGTGCCTTGAACTAGCCCACAGTGAATTACGCTAGGGCAGAAGCCTGTTTTTGTCACCTTCTACAGACCACTTTTGAATTTTCACTTGAAAAGCCCTTGGTATGAATTGACTGACATTTTTCTCCAGACAATGGCATTTTCTCACCTCACCTTCCCTCAACATACCACTATTTATTGTTTTTACTTTTTTCCTTTGGCAGTTTCTGTTCCTTTGCTGTACGCAGTCAGCACAGCAAGTCAGTGAGCTGACAGGGCAGCAACGACAGCAGCAGCATTTCTTTAAACTGTGACAAAAGACCAAGAAACCTCCAAACAAACCAATCGTTGCTGACTTTGAGCAAGCAAAGCTGCTATGGCAAGACATGGGGAAGGATGACTTACCTCATTATTTCCTGAATGTTTAAGTCAGAGTTCCAGTTCTTTTCAATTCCAGGTACGTGACCCATCCCAACCACACCAACTACAACAGCAGGGATGTATTTCCTAGGTTCAGCTAGGGAAGAGATGGAAACAAAGGAACACATTTGTAGAAGAACCAGTTTCAAGCTACAAATGAACAGGTAACGTGCAAGATTACAAGACAGCATTTTCTGAGCAGAGACTTGTTACCACACATCAAAAATTACACATATTCCATGTCTCACCCAATATCTCATGTTTCTAATTCGTTGCTTTTCTTCCTCCTTTTTTTTTCCCCCCTCAAACTTTAGCATAACTTCTTACTGTCAGGAAATGTTTGTTCTGGTAAACAGAACTGGCTAGGGCTCACACTCCAGTCTCCAGATGCAAGCTCTGCTGAGCGTTTAAATTCATCTCTTCCCTACCCTGTGTGGGTCATGTTTCTGCGCTGTTTATGGGGTACAGCCCTGGTCTTTGCTCTCTCCCAAGAAGAGCTTTGCTCACAGCTTTGGACAGCTGGCACAAATCCCAGTAATGGGAAGGCACAGGCTGGCGGACATGGACAGCCAGAAAACAGGGCCTGAGATCAGACCTGACCCTGTTACAGACCTGCCATTACAGACCTGGCCTCAGCAAGTAACAGCAAAACCTGTGCTGTTGGTGTGCAGCAGTCAGGTAGCTGGTCACCACCCTATCACAACACAGGGCAGCTCTCAGCCTAACCTCCCATCTACCAGCCAGCTTTCTCAACATTCAGGAGAAACTGATGCATTCATCCCAAAAGTTTTTGGATTATCTCTGCCCCACTGGAAAAACTGGTAATGTGTCATGAGAACAACATGAGAAAAATGTCCAAGTAATAATAATAGTGTAATAATAATAGTGACATGCAGCTTAGCAAAACCACCTCTGGCACTGTCTCATCTACTAAAATATTGCAGCAGAGGACTGTCAGTCAGGTGATGCATTAACCTTCTTGTCGTTTGCAGTCCCATCTTTTATTTTAAATCCTCTGTAATGCATGTAAAACCCTTCCAGTTTCCCAGGCATTCAATGAACCTGTGATTCACAGAACTCTGTTCTTAAGGTAGAATTAAAGAAAGGAAAAAAGAACAACAATAACAGAGGACACAATTCTTCTTTGTGGCTTATGATCCAGCAAAGAATAACAATGAAAATTACTTTTTAGTCTGCTCCTTTGATTGCATGCACGGATGGTTGGACTAGATGATCTTAGAAGTCTTTTCCAACCTAATGATTCTATGCATCCTCTGATTACGTTACCTGCACTAACAATATGTTTTTGGTGAAGCTTCACCAAGTCAACATTGAAGTAATACTAGACAAGGGAAGTGCAAGTAGTCGTACAATTTCTTCATTATTTTTACAATCAGGAGACAGTGTCAGAGATCTGCACTGAAGCACTTATAAACAAGACAGCAAAAAAAGACAATCCCTACTTCAGTATGCATATGTGTATGCATATACACACACATTTCTTTACATGAACAAAGAGGATGCAGATTACACACGGCAGTAAAATACTTCCGAAGGCTGGAGAAATATTCAGTATGCCTATACCTTGCTGAAACACACACAGTTCATACTTGTTGCATATCACCAGGGTTCCCAGGAGCCCAATTTATAATAAGCAAAGCGAGATGAATACTGAGAATTAGAAGTAATTAGTTCAGCAGGAAATCTGTGCCTAAGCAGCTTCTGGTGACAGTGAATTTGGTGAGACAGTGAGACAGGTGATGCACGTCTAGACTGTCCCATGCTGTGCTGTAATGCCAGACGCCTGCCTTTTGAAGAAGCTGTCAGACTAATCAGTATTTTGCAGGTTTAAATAGCACAGTGAGAAAAGAATCATAATTAGTAGTCTATTGCTATGTGAGATTTCTTCTATAGGAGGTTGCAGTAGGGGAATCATATGCCCCATAACTTCTCAAGCACTGTAATCTTCTGTGATATGTGGCATCAATCTTGGATAAACACACAGAACACCACAGTTTTCCCCCAAAGAACTGAGATATACAATACCACACAAAGAACACACTGATTAAGGTATTTGCTTTAAAACAATTACTTTCTGAAGCTCGAGGTAGTTCTATTTGCTTTGCTGCTTGTTTCAGCATGTAGGTCAAGTAAATATCTCGTTCCGAGACGATTGTTCGATGAAGATCAGGAAATTCTCCAATCATCTCTGCCATCATCTGCTCCAGTAAATCCTTCTGTTTGCATTTTTCCACGTCATCTTTACTGAAAGAAAGGTTACATTTTCTCAGTATCTATATTACACTTCTAAAGTCCAGTGCAGACAAACCAATGAATAAAAACAATCAAATGCTATACCCGTTATTCACGTAAACCTACACAGACAGCTCTCCTCTCAAAAAGAGGAACAATCTGCATAAGCCTGAAAAACTGCATTCTTAACAATGCCTCTACAGTGAGAGAAAGGCAAAGCAGAGGTCACTTGCCTTTAGGCAGCTCAACCAAAGATTCACCTTTCCCAGTTTAAAAGCTGACAACTGCAGAAAAGCACCAGGGCTTCAAAGGAAAGAGTTATCACAGTGCCCCACTTCTACTGTATATTCAGTCTAAAAAAGGCAACAGAGAGCTCCTGAGGAGCAGATCTGATCACTGAACGCATGAAGGCTCTATTTAAGGAACAAAATAGCACACTGCCAGGCACAGTCTGCAAGGGTGGAAAGGATTCTGCAGTGCTTGTGTCAATCACAGGTCTTCAGCAGGGCAATGAGTTATTAATCAGTTCCCTGAATGGAAGAACAGAAATGGACAGGAAATAAATTAGAACTGCAGGAACAAATTTAATGAGTTTTTGTATTATTGTTACTTTTTTAAACGGATGCTGCCAACCTTCTGTTTGCAGCCACAGCAGTGATATAGTCACAGTCTGGCAACAAAATCATCTAGCTTTGCATCACTGCCTGCTGGAGAATGATGCCAAAATTTTTATTTATTTACTTTTTGAAGTTTGAAATCAAAAGGATGCTTCAAAAAGCAGACAACCAAAAAAAGGCACTGGTAGCTTTCAACAGAGCATGGAAATAGACTGACAAACCTGATTTAGAGTTATTACTCCATTTTCAGTAGAAGCTCACAGTGATGAGTAAGTGAGCTCATCTATGCATCACCTGCCCTAACAGCTTCTTAATCACACCCACCTTTCCAATTCCTACCCCTATTATTTTTAAAACATCGATGTACCACATCAATCAACTGTAATACAACACTTAGAATATTACTGTGTTAATGAAGATAATTTATTTTTAATTATCTTAATATTTCAGTTGAAAACCAAAAAATCACATCAGCATGAATGTGAGAATTTGCTGAGAAACACACCCTCCAGCTCCCCCCAGAAACTGGAAACAGTTTCATATTGGTATTAGATTCATAAGTAACAAAACTTTTCACATGAACTGCAGTTAATGGATTGACAGCGGGACCAACATTCTACAGATGAAGTAGTAGGTGTTTACAGGTAACAACAATTTAGTAAATGCTAAAACTGAGAAACAAGGCTTGGCTGTCCCTACTAGCTCCAGCCCTGGCCCTACTTCAAGTGCCTGAAAGAACTGACATCAATCACTTCAATGAGGTGTGCAGAGTTCTGGTTACAGAGCATGAGAGGCACAGAGATTCAGGATCCATGCACGCTGCAAACCTGCTTCTGGCAAGGCTCCCACCATGGCAAGTCTGGTGGGAGCAGATGGAACTCAGGATGACAGCTGGGCATGCCGTCACCCAGTTCAAGCAAGTTTTCACACCTACTGGTGTCCAGAAGCAAAAAGGAAGCAAACTTGGCACAGTGGTTTCTTTAAAGGGCACAGGAAACCAAACTGAGAAGGGAACAGTCTGACAGGTATTAATGTAAGAAAGTAACCTAACAGCATCTCCTCGTAAAGGCCATGGTCATTAAGAGGTTGACACACTGTTGAGATTTCAAACATTTTCTCTTGTTCCCAACATTTGCTCAGACAGCAGATGATGTGGATTCAGTTCTCAGGCTGCTCTGATTTACACATGACTTAGTACAGCAGGCCCAAGTCCTTTGGAAATCTGAATGAAACCATTATCATGAGGCTCTACTCTCTTTCATTAACACAGTATTAACACCGCAGCACTATGAATTTATTTTCAGCATAAAATCATCTACTTCTAAGTGATCAACAACCTAGAATTAATCAAAATGCTATTACACAAAACAAATGTAGCAGGATAGCCAGCTTTCTTTTTAAAACCATGAACTTTTCAAGGACAGTTTGTATATTTCTCTCTCTCACTAATGTGAGGTTTCACCACATCAGTCTGGGTTCGAGAACTTCAGGCTCCTGCCACACAGAAGAGATGAACAATTCATTGCTAAACATATGGGATGTTTATTCATACCTGATTGGGTCAGATAAGAAGCAAAGGCCCCAGGCAAGCTTGACTTTTTGCCAGAAAGAAAGTGCAGCAATTGCCCTCTTAAATGTAACAGGGATGGGTCTGTCTCCAAGATGAAATTTACAGAAAGGTACTTTACTAGCCTGGAAGAGAACATACAAATTACTAGTCAACACATACTGTATCATAGTACAGCACTATTAAGATAATGTTTGTTTATTATGTGATTTAAGTTATTTTAACAACAACCGAAAAAAAGAGCCAGTATTGTCACAGTTAGACAGCAAGAAATGTTTTGGCCATGAGGTAAACAAAATTTCGAGTATACAACTTCCTACAGGAGTACAATACATTGAGTCATAATGCCACCTTTAATTTTATTTTTCCTAGACAGAAAGCTCCTGCTCAGAACTGCTTAAGATGAACAGATGTGCCTCAGTATCTTCACAGGTCTGAATAAAATCCGAGGGAAAACGATTTTGGTTGTTTTGCTTTTAACAGGATTTTGTCAGGATCACAAACCTATTGGTCTGTCATGATAAAATGCATTCCAGGAGGAGCTCATGAAACAAAAACTGATGCAAGATACCAGAAGCCAATGTCAGGAGAGACTATGCTGTAACTGAGGCTGACACATTTTAGTACAACACAGTAAAACAAAATTATCTGGAAATTCTAAGCATATCTGTTTAACAATCTCAAACAACCACTTCAGAAGAGGATACAGAGCTAACCAACTCTAATTCATCCTGACAGATTTGTTTTCATAGGTTGGAATCCTGACACCACCAACAGTATGACCAGGATCCACATCCAAAATTCAAAAACAGTTATTCAAACAAGAACAAAATAAATTGAAACAAATACCATCAAAAATAGCGCTTACTTAAAGCCTTTTTGGAGTTGCTTTTGTGTAATTTAGGGCTATGAATCTTTGTATTTTTGAAGCCAAAGATAGTGTTTACCACTTCGCAGGCTTCAAGAAAAATATGGCCAGTGTGCCCCTTTCTAACAAATGCCTTCATTTACTGACACTGTAAGCAAAAGGCCAGTAATTTGACCTCAGAAAAACTATTTCATGATCGCACCTCTTTGAAAGCCTCTCTGAATTCTCCTCCTGGGGCCATCCCCAGCTGTTCTGTGATGTGAGCAGACACTTTCAGAAGCAGCATTTGCATCAGTCCAGACATGACTCCATTCTGGTGGAAAAGGAGAAAAATGTTAAAAGAAATACCAACATACTGTGTGGATTTCTGAGAAGAATGCACTGTTCACAGTCATGAAAAAACATTAAATATCTTAGTGAAGAAGGGATACTAAAGATACTTTTTGGAGCTAATTCCCTGATGAATGCAGTTCTTTTGTTTCAGCTTCTATCATTTGTAAGGAGACTTTTTCAGTGGTGTGCAGTCTCTATTCAACAACAACAACAAAAAAGGATGAAAGGAAAAGGCAGGGGAGTAGCCAGATTTATTTCTGTCTTTATTTATTTTACCTGACTGATGATGTATGAGCTGTTCTACATATATACTGTACTTTTATTTCTTGATTTGGTTGAAAAAAAAAAGAAAAAAAAAAGGGGGGAAAACATAAAAGTACATTTAATTGAATTTACAATCACGTTATAGAGATACTTAAAATAAATAGCTCGTGGTCTCAAAATAAATGCTCCCATGATCCCAGTGAAGCACTGGGCTGGGCACCAGTTAGGGTAACAGCTGCAGAAACAGAATTCAAGGTTGTGCAAGAATTCGATGTGCATGACTTCAGCACATGAGACCTTAGAAGGAAAACCTTGGGTCTGACTCACTACCGCTTACAAGCATACTGAAGGCCCCTCCTTGCACAAAGAATCTTTCTTACTTTTTAAAACAGATGCTTAACTATGCAGACTTTTTTTTACTGAAGAAGAGAACAATTCCCTACATACATTTAAGCAAGATTTCCCTTCCCAGCTCCTCAAATAGAGATGAAAACATCACTGCAAACCCATTCAGAGCTCTTTTGTCCAGCTCTGGCTGTCCTTCTCCACTTGTTCTTATGACAAAGACCCAGTAACTGAATGCTACCTGTTTCCAAGAATAGTTTGTCACCTAGCTATGCATCTCCTTCAATCTAGCATCATCCCATACTGTTATCAAAAGTGGCATTCCCCTCTGCCCCACCAAAGGTTAGCTTTCCCACTATATCAGCAGCTTCACGTGACTGAAGGTGATATTATATGGGACACTGGAACAGTTCAAAGTTACTGGGGGAAATCCTGGTCTCCCCTCCTTGCTCCCATGGACACACTGAAGCGACCCATTCAGTGCCAGCTTTGATGCCTGTGCAATTTCTCCTAAGGCCATAGGCAGTTCCTGCAGGTAAGCAGATTAGAGACACTAAGGACTAGCAGAAGAGAAGAGATCAGCTACTGTCAAAGCTAGCTGTGTGTCTGCTTCATCAAGCTACAAACCAGCAAGCAAGGCATGTTACAGGAACAACCAACTGACGTACAGCTGCCATCTTATGAATATGCCAAGCAGAAAGACAGGACACCGCACTGCTGGGGAGAGACAAGGAAGAGAAAAGGCAGTGAGAAGGAGTCAGCATCTGAGACTGAGTTCAACAGCCACAGAGACAAAGGTTTCCAGAAGTTCAGAGAAGATAACCCAAAAAGAAAACTAAGATAATGCAAACTTAGGTCATCTGCGGGCTCATCCACCCTTTAGAATTGGATTGATTTTTGAAGTCTACATTTTTACACAGTGATGGAAAGATCTGCCCTGCTGGATAACAAAGGGATGCACCTCTGAAGTGTCTGAATCATTTTTGCTCTTAATGTGCATGGAACTCAGTGCCTGCCACATCTGCTCAGCATCACAGAAGTGCCTGTCACATAAAAGGTGACAAGCAGCAATGTGTAGCACCAACCAGCAGCAACTGGCCAGTCAGAAGGTGTGGGAATAAAGAGCAAAATACAGGAATAGTGATAGGAACAAAACACTAAGAGAGTTTGTTAGCAATACCAGATTATTCCATGTCAGACAAGGGAAAAATGACCACAATAAAGCATTAAATCCTGAAGGACTGACACCCACTTCACAGCTATAAACACAGAGTGAAGCATATCTGCAAAGAAATTCAGCTGCTCAGACAGAGGGATATGGAGCTACTAGCACATAGGACAGGGAATGTGAAGCAGCAATTTTGTAAGCCCACTGCTTCACAGTAAGCAGAATGCAAGTAAAATGAGAAGGATTGTCAGGAAAGGAATGGAACAGAAACACATGCTACTGTGTTGTCTTTAGTGGATGAGGGCTGTTAAGACAAAATACTTGAAGGTGTGCACAGAAATATCAAACACATGGGTTGTAATGTGTTTAATCTCTTCTCATGAGGCTTGAGAATGGATGAGTGAACACAGAATGGCTTAGGTTGGAGCGGACCTTCAAGATGCCCTAGTTCCAATCCCCATGCTGTGGGCAAGCTGCCACCCACAGGGATGGGGCACCCACAGCTCTGGGCAGCTGAGCCAGTGTCTCACTGCCCTCTGAGTAAAGAATTTCTTCCTAGCACCTATCTAAACCTTCCCTCTTTTAATTTAAAGCCACTTTCCCCCTGCACCTATCACTATCAGACCATGTAAAATGCAGGACCCCCCTCCTGCTCATAAACACCTTCAAATACTGGAAGGCCACAGTGAGGTCTCTCCCCAGAGTTTTCTCTTTTTTCATTTCTCCAAGCTCAATAAGCCCATCTCCTTCAATCTTTCTTCACAGGAGAGGTGCTCCAGCCCTCTGATTATTTTAGTGGCCCTCCTCTGGACCCACTTAAACATTTCCACATCCCTTGTGTACTGGGGGCCCCAGGCTTGACACAATACTCCAGATGGGGCTGCACAAGAGCACAGTAATGGCAGACAGTCACACTCCTTGCAGGCCACCCCTCTGTTGATGCAACCCCGGATAATGTTGGCCTTCTGGGTTGTGTGTGTACACGTGGCTCCTGTCCAGCCTTCTGTGAAGAAGGTAAGACTATAGGTAATACCATGTCTAGCATGGAGACAGCAAACAGGATGGCAGAAGAGATGAATGCTCAGGCAAGGTATGACTACAGGTTCCCATGCTCTTCTCCAGGCATCTACTATTGGCAACTGCCAACGGCCTTCTGCAGCAGGCAACTTTTCCTTCAGACAGCACAGCCGTGCTTATGTTATGTATGGGAACGCAGCCTAAAGAGTGCAGCATGCAGCTGCTCTCACTGTGTTAGAGGTTACAGATCCAACACCCTAACTACAGAACTGCAGGCAAAAACAAGCAGCATGTATTTTAGCCCTGGGTTTCTTCAAGAAAAACAAAACAACACTAAATGCCGTGGATGTAACCCTGTACAACCACAGCCAGGCCAGTAGAGATTGGAACTGGTTTTACTACTGCTGCAGGTGCACTGGAGGCTAACCTTCAAGGCACAGAGCATGCAGCCTGTGCAGATCAATATTCATATTGGTACTCCTCACCTACCAATTCAGAGTGTATTTATTATTTAACTGAAAATCCCGTAGGCTAACTAAGCATGAAGGGCTGTTTTGCACAGCTTAATAACAGCTTTTTCATTGGCCAGAAGCATGATAAAAATCATTAGAGTGTATTTCTGCACAGGTACACTCATCCCAGAAGAGTAGCTTAAAACAAGCCCCTTTCAGCTTTTGCTGCCATCAACCTACTTCCTTTCCCGAAGTTTCCCTCCTCCCTCTTTGTGTCAGGACTAGAGACAACACCAAGAGACATAACACAGCTGGAAAGCACGCCCTATTCAGGCAGCCTCATGGCCATGTGAACTCCAGCAGGGACACAGAAGGGACAGCAGAAACATGAAGCTGAGGAGAAGAGATGACCAAACCAGTCTTACCAGTTTGGTTTAAGCCAACTGTTCAGGTAACACACATTTGAGCCAAATTTAAGTCTGCACTTAATGGAAAGCAAACAGTCAGTTCTCTGTAAACCACTGTAAGAGTTTTGAAATTCAAAGTGGAGCTGGAGGAAGTGTTTTTTAAAACCCTAACAGATGCTTGACAAGTTGTGAATACCAGGGATCCATTGCAAATGTGCAACAGTTTCACATGAACACTCAGCTCAGCTTCCAACTTCAGTGATTAAGCATGAAATCCATTTTCACTGCTCTAGAGCCACTACAGAAAGACATGGCATTATTTTTCTAATTCAATACTCCAGGGTGAAAGTTACAAGCAGTTTTAACTTTTTCTGTAACTTTTTGGCCTGGTTGCCAGTTCCATCACTGTGAAATGGGGGGTGACAACTGAAGCAGGCAGAGCAACTTACTGGCTCATTGCTTTTCCCCTACTACAAAACCAAAGACACTCACTTAGCACAAGACAGTTGGACTGTTTCCTAGTGTCCCCTATATAACTCACAGTGCAGCAGAACCAAACAAGGGAGGTATTTTTTTTTGCGGTTGAGCTCATACATGGAGAAATACATTCACTACAGGCACAACACCCAAATACTAGTATTTGCATCACTTCTCATGAGAAAAGAGGCTGAGCTGTCACAGTAGTGATCCTTGTGTTGTTACTCTGATTTTGGACCCAGTACTGCCTGAACAGAGGATCACTTTCAGTTCTGGTAGGAACTGCTGATAAAGAAGCTGCCAACATGAATTGACATCAAAAGATTTTTTTCTCTGTATGCTATTTATTTTGCAATGTAAGGCATTTTATTTTCATTGTCCTTTTCCAATGTCCTCTTAAAAGAGAAAAGCTTAACACAGTAGAAATGGCTGCATTTAGCTTTGATATAGAACAACTTTTTAAAATTTATTTTTACAAAAAAAAAGGCAGCTTCTGTGCTTGTTTGCCAGGTCAAAAGACCCTCAAATATACTGCTCTGTTGTAAAGATGCATTATTTTGGTTACGTGCATCCAAGCAATCCACCTTGCCTAAAATAGATGGATGGATGCAATAACTCACACAATATGCAGATGTTTTGCAATCTTCTATCCTCTGATTGGACATAAATAAAGAAAACAGGAAAGGTACATTATTGCCTAACTGTATGAGTCAGAAAGACTGCAGTGAAAGACACAGTGGAACATAAAGACACCATAGATTTGCCCCTACCCACTCACACTTTATGTGGATGCACTTTATATTCCTGTCAAGGATGCAATCCTGGAAATTTCCAATTACATCAATAAAATCATTCCAATACATAACTACAACATATGTGCACCACACAACCAAAGTCTGTGAATTTATTCACCCAGCTGGATGCTGGAAAAGCTTTTGACTTTCCCGAAAATTACTATTCTACTCAAACATCCCATGATCACTTCAAAATCGACTTTGTGCTGTTTCACTGGGTCTAGCTTAAAATTAATTAAATATAAGCTAATAAGAAGAAACTGAAAACTAAAGGACGACACTTGTTATGCACCTACACATCCAAAACAGTGGCAAACTGCCAGACTAGCAGTAGTTTGAATAGTAATCTACTCTTATCTGCCCAGTTTTTTCCAACAGCCTTCTTCAAGGCCAACAGTCAGTAAGCAGCTACTCTGAAGACAAGTGGAATGGAAATATCCAAAAAAAAAAACACCCTACCAAAAAGGAGGAATGCAACTGAGTAGACTACTACAGACAACAGCAAAAGTAAACACTCCTTCAGTAGCTGTAATACAGATGCAGATTGTAGGGATAGTAACCGTATCTAAATAGATTAGTGGAACACTACAATTAAATACTTGTGCCCTGGAAGTGGAACAACTGCTTAACACAGGAAGAGTCCTGCTGAGGTCAGCACCTGCCCGTACAGTTCAGCAGTGCAACTGAAGCCCACAGCACTGCAGCTAAAAACAAAATACCACAACTTACCACCACCGTGGCATCCTCACCTAGGTGAACACCATTAAGTTTCCAGCTAGCAGGAATACCTTTCTCAGTTCTAACTCATATAAAGAATAATTTGTCCAGTCTTTAACTCTCACTGTGGGAATCATACCTGCTTTATAGCTTGCTGAAGTTTTTCCAGGTTTATTTCTTTGGCTTCTTTTAGTAAAGTTTTCTCATCCATCTTTAACATAGAAACTCTATACTGGCACAGTTCCACTACAACCACATCTGGCTGCACTTCTTGTATTGTCTGAAAGAGAAGAACGATATATATTTTTTATACCCGTTTAGGAATGATTGAACAGAATTACAGCCAATGTTGATATTTCCATGAGAAAAGGGTCTTAAAAGCACATTCCAGCAACCATTTTCAAATAAAATCACAATGAGAAAGCAAGACTTCCCAAAGTAGCTATTTATTGAGAAAAATGAAGAAAATGACAGTGAAATGCCCCAGCTACTGGATGTTTTGGGACAGGAAGAAGGACAACAAAAGAAAATCATGATGTTCAGCTTGTTTTGTTCACATTAGCAATGTCCCTTTACCCACAGCCTGTGACCACAAAGCTTTATTAAGAGCCAGAGTTGATGATTCTGGTACAAGATTCCTTCCCTCCTCTGGTCCAGAGAATAAAGCCACTCTGAATTGCAGGCTTTGCATAAAGTCCAGTATGAAATAGCTCCTACTTCCACTAGTGTTTCTGACCTTTTTATACTTTGGACTACATTCTTGAGTTATGGGCAGCGTGGTTTTACAGCTCACTATTACACATCCCATACACAAAGAAGCCAAGTTCCTGTTCTAAGGCTTTGCATCCTCTCATCATATCCTCATCACAGTAAGCATACAGTAACACCAAGACTCAAGACTAAGACTGTCTGCATTTGTTCTTGAGAGGACAAATAAATATTTGAGATTGGAGAGCAATGTATTTAAAAAAAAAAATAATTACTAAGACAATATGCCTGCCTCCTTGCTCATCCCACCTTACTGTCAAGTCCTCCAACAGCTCATTTGAAAAACAGGATCTAGAGGCTGTAGCAAAGAACAGTCGGACTTCATTCTGCTTTGTGACATTTTTGATAAGTTAACATTAGCTGAAAGGTTTCCAACTCAAAACTACCTTCACTACATCCTTTTTGCTGCTGTCACTGAAGTGGGCTGTTCCAACCACGTACACTTTAGAACCGTCCTCGGTGTCAAGCTCAGTCACAGTGCTTGGTAAGGCAGGTTTTTTCTGCCTCTTCTTCATCTTCATCTCCAAAAGGATTTTAAATGCATCTGCATCAGCTGCAATTGTAAAGAAAAAAGAAAAGCACAGATGATTAAGAAATGCAGATAAGAAAGACAGAGAACAAAAATGTCGCCACTGAACAGCAGAGTAGAGCTAAAAGGCCATTGATTTACCACTGTAATCTTACATTCAATTCTGAGGCTACATCATTGAGAGTGCCACCACTGGAGAGGCTGCCTCCAAGCATGGGTCTCAGTCCAGGTTTCCTACCCTGTGGACACTGGGACAGGTTGTCCACGCAGTTCAGTAAGGGAAAGAGAAGCTGTGTGGCAGGTGAGGCGGACAGAGAAGCAAAGAATACTTAGAAAAGGTATATACTAAATCAGAAAGAAAAAAAAAGCATTTTTTCATTTCTAGAGCAAAAATGTTCCTTTTTGGAATCTTATCTGTATAAATGATAGAAACATATGTATAGTGCTACGAGTATGCTGGTAAAGTAACCTGTACACGTTGGAGCATGTAGGATACCTGCCAATATAGATTTTAGCCTTCTGTGTGACTAACACACCAGAAATCTGTATACAATTGAAAATTAAAACTTAATAGGCATTTGGGTCAGGAAATCAACAATTCTCCCGCAGTTTCAACAACAAACTAGGACCATACTGGTATAAAATTAATTCAGTCCATCTGTATCAAGCTTGCCATAGAGAACTGAAGATCTATCAGTTCCATCACTGTTGTTTGTGGAATGCCAGAAAGCCTCATCAACTGAGATAGAGATTTTACACCAACAGGAAATACAGTAACTTTGCAGGAGTTTTCTTTAAGCTGTAGCAGATCTTATAAAAAACAAACAAACAAACAAGCCATCAAGGAGGAAAATAGATTTTTGTTTCCATGGCAAGCTGTTGCACAAGTCAGCAGGGACTTAAAGCGGTCCAAAAGCCAGGAATCCCAAAAGGAAAAAGTCAGCATGCACTTTACAAGTGGGATCTCTCTCTCTCTCTCTCTCTCTCTCTCTCTCTCTCACACACACACACACACAGTCTCCTACCACACATTCTCTATCTTTTCATGACTCTGTTTTACTCATGCTGCCCCAGATCTGTTCTATAAATATTTCTCTCAAAGGATCGCGTGTCAAAACCAAAACAGAACCAAAGCCACCCTCCAACATCCTTCTTAGTTAACATTTTAGAAGCCCACTACTACATAGTTAATACTCAAGAACATGGCATGCTGTAATCAGTATGGTCTGATCTGCTGCCAAAGCAGATGGTGATGCTAAGGAGGCAGTGAGGAAGGCACAATTTTAAAAAGAAGGAGAATGGACAAGGCCACTGCATTTGTAGCACTCAGCATCATCAAAGCAGCTGTTTAGATTAACCAAAATTTACCTAATCATATATATGGTCTACTAGAGCAGACAAAAGTGGGTATCTAAGGAAGAGTGTAAGAATCAGGAAAGCATGCACGGTGCTTTCTCCAAAAGATCTCCTTGCCTCCAATCATTTATGGCTCAGATTACTTGAACTGAAAGTGGTTTCTGCATATTTAGTAACCCTTAAAGGATTTCCATTCTGTTAATTTTTCCAGCCTCCACCTCAAACAGAACTTCAGAACTGGACAGAATGATGTTTTATGTGAAAAAAAGAATTCTCATAACAGCAAAGTAACAGACATTATCAATTAAGGATATACTTAAGAAAAACATTCTGAGGAATGTTTTTGCTTTTTTTTTAAATGAAACCAACTTCTAAATCTGGAGAAAAAAGTATCATGAACTAATCTGCTTCTATAGGTCTCAATTCTTCTTTAGGCTTTTCCCATAGCTTTACTTAGTGCTCAGTTCGCTCCCATGATTGTTTCTTCTCAAAGCTGTGGTCACTCAGCAACTTCAGCATTAGAGTCAGGTTGCACTCAATCTGCCCTGAGGTGGTTCTTAGCCTATTATTTGCCAGAAAGCACAACCTGAATGTCCCCAGTGTTCAAAAAGGAGGATTGCATATACTAATGTCACAAGAATGTATCAATAAACAGAAAGCAAATCCTAAGAAGCATTTGTTCTTCTCCTCCTTAGAGAGGAATGGCTGACATCATCTGATCCTCCTCACTGAAAGGTAAAGGCCGATACTTCTCCCAGTCTTCACAAGACAGTTTTGGCTGAAATATTTCTATTCCCATATCCTGCAGGCATGGCCTTCCTATCAAAAAACTATCATTATGGAGTGGGCAAGGTGTTCCATCTGTTACAACTGATTCAACATTGTAACACTACATGTCAAAACAAGGAAACAAATGAGTGCTTATCTTCTTTGACGCACCAAACTTAAAACAGCGGGTGAGTGCATCTGTTAAATAAAACAATTTACACTCTTCTGAAAGCATGAAAGCAGCAAAATGACCATCATTGCTCTTTTCAAATGTGCTTTATGCATTTCTACTAATCATGAACAGATTAAGCCAACATGATCTCATTCACATCGCCCTTTTGCCTTATTAGGTAAGGAAAAGGCATGGACATTTGGGTTAACATGCTTCCAACATGACACACCCTCCCCAGCCAAACCAGAAACATACAGATACTCTGCGATACACTTGACGTTTCCTTTGGGCCATCTTCTGGTACATCAGAGGAGGACATTGGATCAGCAGCAGCCTGTATGAAACAAATTCAAAAGGAAGCTGGAAATTATAACGAAATGCTTTAATGCATCTTTTTCCTCTTGTGGCTTTGCTTGATTTGAGCTTACATACAATATTCAAGCAACTAAATAATTTAAGCAGTGTCAACAGTGCAAAACATCTGTGGCTTTACAACTGTTTTTCTGAGCTGTTTACGAGAGACGATACTTACACCTGACACAAAGTTAAAAAGTGTGTGACTTTGGAAGAAACCAAACAGATTTACAGTAACTCTAACGGTGATATAAAGATTTCTGTGTTGGAAACCAAACCGCACTGATTATAACACCATTCCAATTTTCAGATAGGATATTTCATTTAACTACAAGTATCAGCATTAATTTTGTCATTCTTGACAGACTAATAGCTCTCAAGTATACACAGGTCCATTTGTGAAGAGTCTGCCCAGGTATTTCAGATTGTTAGAGTAAGTAAATACCCACACAACAGGCAGACTCCGCCTTACAAAATCCGGGCATATTCTGACTTTCATATGCAGCAGAAATCAGAGTCAGAAGGATGTGAAACTAAGTGTTTCCATGTTTTTGCCCGCTAAAGGATGAGAAGGGGTGGAGAAGATTTCCAGAGACTGACTTCACAATACTATCACTCCAAGCATATATTATGTCTTTGACTTGAAAAAGCATTCTTTTTTGTAACTAGCATGCAGTTTTTTAAATCCTTTCATAAAATTCAAACAATTTAGTCTGTGCCATCCAACCTGGAAAAACTGCTGGTAAAAATGAAGGCTTAAGGACTCAGAACACTCAACCACAAGCTACTTTTAGGCAACTACATTAATTCTAAGTTCAATCAGGATGATTACTAGAGAATTTGAAGTCATTTAACAACACTAAGTCAATAGTAAGAAAGGATGTGAATCCATAATCATTTAAGTACTTTCCGAACAAAAGGCAATATTAAAGAGTCAGCAAGCAGGTGGCCAAACTCTCTTGAAGGATTTTTAGCTAGCCACCAGCATCATTAAACTTCCTACTTAACCTGGCAAGCTTTAAAACAGGACTGTACAAAGCACAAACTATTGCTAAGAGTTTCAACAAGAGTACTTCCTTCTCACACTCCGTTGTTTCAGACAGCAATTTTTAGTTAATAAATCTTATGTGTATTACTGTGGCCCCACTGAAGGTAAGAAAAAATTTATTACTGCATTTCCTGGAGTAAGACCAAGAAGTACAATGGGTCTACAGTACAAAGCTGAAAGCATTTGCAGCAACGTACCATCCTTTCACTACAAAGCAATGCCTGTTCATAGAAAACTGGAATTACACTGCCTGCAGATTGCAATTACACTCTCAGATTTAATTAAACATCAGCTCAGTTTTTGATCACAACATATGGCCTGACTACTGTTTGCATACCTAAATCTAGTCACAAAAACATTTTGAAAGATACTTCAATGTAACATAGAGAATTAGTTCTGTCACTTATGCTGGAGTTGTTATAATGAGAGTCTGCTTTCCGCCCTCTCCTCCCTCTCCCCCTTCTTTTTTTTTGTTTTTTTTTTTTTTAAGAAGTTAACAAGACAAAGAACACACGAACCAAAAAAATTCAACTAAACTTCCCTTATTGCACTGGAAAAATATGCAAAAGAATAAAAGGAATGGAACAAAGAACAAAAGAGCACCTGAGCTTAATTTGGCAAGGTACACAAACTCTGCACAGTGGAAATCATTTATATATGAAGGCTGTTCCGAAACTAATGCCTTCTATTTTATGATGTTGGCCCATGACATCAGAGGTGGATGTTGGTGATATGGCAGTAGAGGCTGAACCTTCCTGCCAGTGTTCCATTGGCAGAATAATTTTGTTGCCACAGACAGCAGCAGTCAGACAAATGGCATCTGACATGCAAGCGCGTGTGAAGAAAAGGTGTGACAATGAATTCCTCCATGTGGAAAAAACAACACTCAGTGCCATTCATTGATGCTGGCTGAGCTATAGACCAAATAGCAGACGTGAGCTCAGTCAGGTGGCGGGTGGTGCATTTCAGCAGTGCTGACAGTGGGTCACCTCCACTGGTGCAGGTTTTTATAAGCGTGGCATGCAGGCTCTTGTTCATCACTGAACAAAGGCACAGCATTGGTGGTGACTGTGTTGAAAAGTAGAGTTTTGTAGCTGAGAATTTGCTCTAGATGTGGCAAAGCAATAGCAATGAGCCCTTAACTCTTCTGTTTTTAAAGGGGTGTCATGCTGGTAGCCCTGATTCCTGACTTTGCAGACCTTCCCGAAGAATGAATAGAGCTAACTTAGAATCTCAACCTTTCCTTCCATTACACTGAGAAGAAAACCTTCAACTTCAATTCCTACCTCAGGCTGTTGCTCCTCTTGCATCCCTGGAACGTAGGCTTATTTTCACCAATCTCACAAGAACTGGAAAAAGTAAAAGGAATGGATGAGAATCAAAAATTGATTACAAAACCCATAACATTCATTGATGAACCAGGAGAAGGGCTGGAAGCAGAAGCAGCTCTACAAACTCTTTGACAGAAGCTGTAGAAATAAGAGCAACAAACTTAACATGAACAAATGTCACCTTTTCAACTCTGCTGAAATAAAAAAAAGTCACCACAATGTCAGCAGGGCAAAGCTGCCTTGTCTCATTAATCCAATTTTTGAATTGGCTCTAAAACCAGAACATAGCCTTTGTTTTTCACACACACTGAGAATATGTGGAACAAGAACAAATTTCATGGGAATTCTGAACTTTTTTTCTTATATTCAGCAAAATTGCCCTTTTCACCCAGTTCATTCATAAGCAGTCTAAAATACAGTGGCTGTCAAAAAGGAAAAATCTTGTTCAGCTAGGTTAGTAGTTCTATGTCATCCAAATCAGATATGACTTTAAGATAATTGAATGTAAATTTTTAGAATTGTCTATATTTCATCACAGCAAGGGACAGAAAAAAGCTGTCTCAGTCTAAATAATCAACTAGGGAACCACACACATTATCTGGTCTGTGTCATGTTATCACATACAAGTTCACAAATATGTCAGGGCCAGGACATCAGAAAAGGCACATTTATGTGAAAAACCTGGGAAGTGGGTTTACAAATCTTTGGTTATTTGTTTTCATTCTGCTTTTTTTGCTTTGTTTTAAGACTCATTCTCCTGCACGTATTCTCCAAGTTCAGAAGTTATCCCTGAAGCCAGCAAAGCTCTAGGACTTGACTGATGGCACCCTAAGGGGATTGCACAAGATGCTGAACTTGTGATTCATTCTGCGTACTCTCACTAAGATCCAACTAAACAGCAAAGCACTTGCAGAAAAAAAAAGAAAAACTAAGGTATTTTGGGTTACCTCCCTCTGACCCATTCTGTACATGCCAACAGTGTTCTGTTACACCACAGAGAAATTTTACTGCTTGTGCTGGGCAGCTTTGCACACACTGGAGACACCTTGCTACGTTTTATCAGATTTCCCCCTTACCTCATCTCTCTGCCTGAAAAGGCAACGAGCAATGCCTCCCAAGACATCTTGTTCTTCCCCCTACACATGCACCTCAGAGACTACCAAGCAGACAGCAGTTGTGACCCCTTACCTGCCCAACACATTTCAAGCACCACTGCCAAGGGACACGTTTGGTTCCTGCCCCACACCAGGAGGAAAGCTGCTGGGGCCCGGTGGCTGCTTTCCAGCACACAGCAGTGGTGGAAAAGATTCCCCTTTGCCAAATGCAAGAGTTTCCTGAGTCTGATCAGCACTCTGCCCTGGTTTCCAGCAAATTTTTGAAGCAAGTTGTACTGCTTTCTAGCTTTGCTTAAAAGACGTTTCTATAAAAAGAGTACTTGGCTGAGCAGCAAGCAGCACGCACGTGTAATTCGGGCAGCTGGCACCTCTCCCTCTGTGTGGTATGGAGTGGCTCCAGCAATTCATGCTTTGGCATTGCCTGTGCTCGTGGCCCAGCAAACAGGAGGGCACAGCTGTGGGGCAGGCGAGACAAACTCCATGCAACCAAGAGCCTGGATTCTGATACTCTTTGGAGTGAAAGCCCCATGAAGATAAAACTGTGACCTTGCCTTTTCCTTTCTAAGGGGTCAAGTGCAAAAAAGCAAAGTGTCACAGCAAGCTGGAAGGGTAGGTGAAGGCAAGTAGCACTTCTGTGCTACAGAGTTTTCAAGACCTCTGTGCAAGCCCAGCCAAGTGGCCCTGGGCAGACACACAGCCCAGCAGCAGTCCAGCCAGGACCCCTGGTGGCACAGCAGCCTGTCCTCACACTGTCCTGCCTCAGCATGACTAAGTCAGGCTGGAAATACCCCACTTCCCCTCCCCATAGCCTTTCAAGCTCAGGTGAACAAATACCTGCACGAACAGCTGAGGCAGCAAAGCTGAAGGGACTGTATGGAGCAGGTATGTAAAGCCAACACTGTTCTCTTAAGGAAAAAACAACTAAACACACCACACAACATGCTCAGCTACAACACTTCAGGTTGCACTCTGAAATTCAGCTCTGAAGTTTAAACAGAATAAAGCGTGTTTTTCTCCCAGTAGACCTTAAACACAAACTGCAGTTCTAGGCTCAGCCGAAGGTCTGCCTGGGTTTGAAAACATCTCTTATCGACAGGAGTGCTGTTAAAAATAGCAATCTGAAAGTTTCAGTTAAAGAGCAAAGTTCTAGACAGAAGCACCCAGTGATTTTCCATCCAGTAAGTGACATTTTAGAAAGCTTTACCCCCTTCTCACCACAGGGTAAGTGATGTGTACAATACTGGAAAGAATGCTTCTCTGAAGTTTGCTTGTGAAAAAAAGCACTCTCCATTTTTAATCTGAGACATTCCATCTCTGGAGGAATCAAAGGTGGTCAGCACAGCTTCCAGCTCCAGCAAAGCAGGGCTCCAGTCTCTGCAAAGAACCCATGGCACAACAACATGAGGATGAGACAATCTGCTGCTGCTTTCTTCTAGATGGTCCTTCAGTGCTTAGGTCTGCTCTTTCACTATAAGTACAACTTCCCACGAAGACCCATTTCTGAATTGCCCCCACACACTCAGCAGTTCAGATTATTCGATCTTATTAAGAAAATCCTTGCAACTAACCAGCAACAGCAAACAAACTGAACAACTGCCATGAAAACTTGAATGCATTCAAGCTCTTGCTCAGTGCAAGCAAGAACAGGCACAAAACACTTCAATACCAGGGGAACAGCTCACCAGTGTCCTCCACAACACAGGAGAGAAGATGTAAGTTCTAGGAACTGCTCAGGGATCTTGGAATCCAGGCTGACCTCACTCATCCATGTGGAAAATTCATCACCTCTGCATATCTATGTACATCTTCAAAGATATCTGCAACCCACAATCCTTGAAATGTTAATCTTGAAACCTCTCAAAAAGGACTACATGTTCTTTGCTGTTACAGAGATAAGGAACTGAAGCATGTGAATCTGCAAGCACTTCCTCCCACTGTGTCCAATGGTAAGACAAAGGGTGCCGATTCAGATCAAAGCCTAGAAAACGTGGGTAAAAAGCTGTAAGGCTGTCAAATCAAGCTCTGTACTTGCTAACCTGTAGGTGACTGTTAAACAAACCTGGAAGGGAAGTTGGAGTTTTGCTCATTAGGAGGGATATCTGCACAGCATTGCCTCTCTGTGAAAAAAGGATCACTGAAGATGAGGAGGCAGAGGGTGGAAGGGCTGCAGAAGAGGATGTGGGCAGAACCTGCCAGGGAACAGAGGGAAATTCAACCACAGGATGTAAAGCCATAGGCAAAATAAGCTGTTTAGACAATTCTTTACCATGATCTGTAATACACACACTGCAACACCTCATTACCTCAAGTTCCTCTGCTTACCATAGGATTTGACAGAAACATGCAAAACTGACCGCAATCTTCTCTTCCAGCTACTTCATAGGCCACTAAGAAGTCCTCACAGCTTAAGTTATGCACTTAATGTGAACTAAGAGAGTGCATTTCTTTCAGACAAAATGGGAGATGGAGATTCTAGATGAGAGACAGCAAGTAATTCTGTTCTCTTATCTACCAGAGACTCCCTCACCCTGGGACACAGCCCTGCTGCTGGCAGCACTGCCGAGAGCTCCTGGAGCCAGAAGAAACAAGACAGAGCCTGACCTGGTGCTTTTCAACCAGCAAGTCTGGGTTTCGCCTCCACAGTTTTCCTGAGAGGTCTACTTGACAACTGAATACCTGATTCAATCTTTTTTTTTTTTTTTTTTAAACCCTAGGGGGCCCTCCATTCACCAGGTAATTAAAAAAACTATTCTTCATGTATATACCTATGAGCAGACAAGGTCCTTCACTCAAGTCTGAAGATGTCTAGGCACCAATACAGTAATGTTTGAGAACACCTCACCAACTGCAAGCTTGAAATCAACGCCTTGGCAGGCACCGACTCCCACTGAGGCCTTCTCCTTGTCACAGCACACAGGGTGGCCATTCACACTGACAGCAGCACCAGGAAACAAGGTTGATACCACTCCCCTACACCTTGGGGATTATGTTTTTCCTCCTTCCCACTCCAACTCAGGAAAGGTGTACAACATTGTCCAGCAGTGCCACATTCCTCCTGTGCTCACAAAGGCAGAGCGAGGAAGTGCTCCCTGCCACGCCATTTCACATCAACCCTCCAGCTCTCATCAGGTAAAACAGCTCCAGCAGAGCTTTGGGAAACCCGCTGATGAACTACTGGCTCACTGCTCACACTGAGCAGCCTCAGCTGATCAAAGCACTTCGGTTCTAGCTGCATATTTAGGCATATCTTAGCTCTCAGTTTCAAAGAGACATAGGGTACACTCACAAACCAGGGGTGCTGTCATGATCATTTACAGGCTCTAGAACACAGGCTGCCATTGAAGAACAAGTTCCCTGTCTCATTTTATTTCAACTTTTTGCCCCGGTGAGAAAATTCAGACACAATACAGGGCAGAAAGTTGGTCCTTAAGGTGTCCTCCTGCTGAATGTCTCACATACATTTGCCTCCTTCAGGCAAATCAAGTGAATCAATCAAAAAGCTTTTTTAAAAGCTCTCATGTACCTCTATACACAAGCTAGTCAGCTACTCTTTAAAAAGACTTTTATTGAACAGTTTGTTCCTTCTGAGATAGACAGAATCAGAAACAGCATTTGTTTTCCTCAACTTGTTGAGGATGCAAAAGGGAGAAAGTATTTCACAGCCTTATGTAGTTGTTCTGTATTGTCTGTGTTGCATGGAGATTGTCAGAATAAGAACAGTAAGAGCCACAGAACTTCTACAATTTGTTTCACACTTTATTGAAAGAGAAAGGCAACTCATTTGGTTTTTCCTCCCCCTGAACAAATCTGTTTATATCACTGCTTTAAATGTTTCCAGTATTCAGTAGCATTGAGGAGGGTGGGTATCCACACCTCTCCGTGTAGGGAATGTTAATCCTACAACCTATGACATGGTATTATTACATGTGCTTCTTTGTTTTACATAGCCAGAACTGAGACATATGAATATCTAAGTACACTTATAGATCATATCTGTGGGAGATAGAGTTCAAAGCCTACTGGAGCTTTCCAAGCATTTCTTATTTGCAATGTGAATTTTCCATTGTTTCTACTGGTGCTTCCAAAGAAAGCTGTCCTCCCTCCGCAGCCCTGGGGCAAAACCTCCTCACAACACCCTACAGCACAATTCACTGCTCAGAGTGTGAGCACTGTGGGAAGTGCAGGACTCAGGCTAAGGGCTGAACCTGCTTACATAGCCAGCCACCAAGTGACAGTGAATCAGTACACCTCATACCTGCTGTAACCAAGCAGAGCTGGGCTGTGTGGGACTCCAACCATAGGCACAGGCTCCTGACCAGACCTGCAACACAATATCCCTCACCAGAAAGCTCTTCTGCTCCTCCGGCACAGCAGCACAAACATACTGACATCTAAACACTCGAAGTGTGCTGCCCTCCTTTCGCAACCTAAAGCTGCGGATCCTCTAGCAGTGCGATCTGTCCTGGATGGTACAGCCAGCATGCTTGATTCACTGCACGCACGGCATGGGTACATCGCATTTGAATGCCACAACCCATTAACAAGACAACTACCCTCTCTCCCACTGACACACCACTGCACTGGTTACTATCTGAAATGCCTACAAAACACATTCTACATCTCACATTTATCCCTCTACAAAGGCTGAATCGATCAGTAGATACAGGCTTGTTTCAGTAGCGCCTGCTTCCATTGCAGCAGATGAAGTGTTTAAGATTGATGAGACACTTCCCAAGCTTATGCACAGGAATCACAGTAGTGTTTACAAACAAACTAACGCTGGCTCCAAATGGTGCCTCTTTTCTCTACTGATAGACCGCTCAGCCTCAGAAAGACGCATCAGCAGGAATCTGACAGCCAAATAATGCAACAGCCACAAGTGCAGGAATTGGAACTTATTTCAAAACCACCACGGTGACCTGCTTGACATATTGCACGTATTTCTTTGACACAACCCACGCCTTTGAAACTCAACTGAGCAACTGGTTCTGTGATCACAGATGGTTGGAGATTGCAGGTCTGGTTTCTCATGACTCAGAAGTTTATAAATTTCAGAATACAGATTCTATTCTGTGAGCATGAATGAGAAGTTCCTACAAAATCATCCACCTAGATGCAGGCACTTGCACATCAAAACCACTGTCCATTTGCATACTAATGCTTCATTTACTACTGAAGTAAATGAATGCAGCTGTGACTTATTTCAAAGGAGGTACTGGAACACGAGAAAATATGGACTGGGACATCGGTGCATTGGACAAACTTTTATCTGATGTGCTGAGAACACAATCTATCATTCTTTATCCCTGAAAGAGAAGGCACTGTCATCTTTGTGATTTTAGAAATGACAGCTATTACACTAACTAGGGCTACTCACTGAACTGAGTAGATACGAGACAAGGTAGTTCAGAATGCTTATGTGGGGTGGACTGAGCATGGACAACAGGACAAATCTATACAGCTTGAAGAGGCTATAAAGAGATTGCTAATTTAGAAACATGGAGCAGAAAGACCAAAGCGATGTAGCCCACGTCTGGTCAGCTGCCCCAAAACTCATACCATCCTAGAGCCTACGCATTAACTGAAGTTAATTTTCCATTTTATTCAGGTATGAATCATCTGGATCCGGGGAAGATTTGGAACCAAAACTATTTTAATAGACTCCCCCCATGATCAGCAGATTGAGATAAGATATCCATTCAGCGCATCTCCTCCCTCCAGGCCATTCAAAACAATCAATCAACCAAACAATATTTTTGGTCCTGGGAAACTCAGCAAAGAGCAACAGAGAAACCGCACAGCTTCTGCATGCACAGCTCTGATAAGCCCCACAAGAAGCAGTGCTTTCACCCGCTTCATTCATTACTTACACACAGCCAGCAAGGGAGGTGGGAAGAGAAGTTCTGTTATGGCCATCTGCAAAACAGCTGCACGAGCCTTCTTAAAGCCTGTGTTTTTGTCTACTACAATATAGACACGTGCCAGTGGCTGTGTGCTGACGCACTCAGGAGCTGGGTCCTAAGAATACTGGCAGACACTATCATTCATTAATTTTATTACGGACACTTAAATGCCCTCCTTATGATGGTAAAATTGAGGTTTTGTACAACAAAGTTTTCCCAGCTGCCAAACACATTATTTATCAGTGCTCTTCTGCCTGACCCTTCCACCCCAGTCTCCAAACAGCAGTCAAGAACAAGCTGATGGACTCATTTCCAAAACGCTGAGGTGATCACAAAAGAGAAAACACTGCTATATGACACCCGTTCACATGGTAGCAACAAGGCAGGAGACACAGCTCTCACTGCAGCAGGGAACTGGAGAACCAGCATCAGGTTTCAGGACACCCAGACAAAGCACCAGGAATGCCCATTAATCCCAGCCCAGCAGCCACAGAGGCAGGAGCCCCACACCAACACCAGGAACACACAGCAACCAGGAAAGCCATCCTGCTGCTGCACTGCTCACTGACTGCCTAAAGCAGCCTGAAGCCAGCCAGTAATTGAAAAACAGATACTCCCTCCAAAGATTATTGCTATTTCTATTCCTATCTGCCACCCTCAAGAAGCAAAACCCCTCCGTTCAGCAATTCCTGACCCTGTTTCTTCACACACAGGCCTTCCACCAGTAGCTATTTCACCATCCTGCTGAAGGACGGCTCCTGGTTGTGCAACACAAGGACTACAAATCCCAGTGAGGTACAACCCAGTCTCTCTGCACAGCACACAGGAGACCATTTTCTACCTTTATCAGCATTTGCTGCTGCCCAGAGCAGTGTGGGCTCACTGCCTCTCACTCCCCTCCTGCACAGACACACACCTCTCGAGGCAGATGTGTGGTGCTGTGCTACCCACACAGACAAGGTGGTTCTGCAGACAGCCTGCAGGGCTGAAGTAGGAGACAGAACTCCTGAAGCTCCAGGGCTGTTTCCTGCAGCACGATATGTGGTTTCATCACCACACTCCAGTTCAGTGCAGAGACGCTCAGTCCCTGCATCCCACAGTGAATGCAATCACAATGCCTAGCACATCAACTGAAGGGGGAAGAAAGAAAAAGGAAGGAGGTGAAGGAAAAAACACACCCTGTGACTTCAATAAAATACATTATTAATATTATTAAGGAAGGGAAGAGTGTCACTTAACACATGCATGTTTTCATACAATGTTAACCATTCTGGTTAATGCTGAAAGCTATCCATCTCAAAATCATTCTGCAGACAGGGAAAAAGAGAAATAAAAAACCCAACAGCCTACGAGTTTACAAGCCCTAACATGTAACTGCAGTACCACCTGGTTCACAGCACCTCAAATAGGAGCAACTCTTCACTAAAACATTCAATAACTGAAGGTCTGACCTCAGATTTGTATCAGAAACCTATCTGCAGCCACCAGCCCAGTAACAGTCACCACTACCAGACCACACCAGTGAGATCTCCCTGGGAGACAAGGGGTGCTCTGAGCAGCAACAGCAGCAGGTCAGGGGGAGCCGCAGGAGCCCCCATTACAGCCAGTGAAGCACGGGCTGCGATGTCACATCAGACAGCTGCAGTCCCACACCACTCCAGTACATCTGCTCCACTCTGATCTCTACCCTTCTCTCTTTTCTTCCCCCATTTTCTAGGGCTGCCCAAGATCTCTTCTGTCACTTTTGCTACGTAGCAAATAAGAACCTTCTTTCTTCTTTCTCAAAAGTGCTACTGAAAGAAAAAACAACACTCAGATGAGTCTTCCAGAAATAAGATGCTAATACCAGTGCGTGCTATTCACAGCCGCGGTAGTGGCAGCAGCAATGTTTCATTATATTTACCACATGGAAGAGAGACTGCACTAATAGCTCCGACTGCCCTGTCACCACACTGAGTAATGTCTGAGCCTACAGCTACAGGGTGCTGGGCACCGCTGAGGCTGGCTGACAAATTCACAGCCAGCAACTCAAGTCACCAAAACCTGAAAGTCTGCCCCAAACGGCAGGGCGCAAAGCCCACGACCTAACCCAACATTTTCAGCTGGGTTAGGTCGTGGGCTTTGCGCCCTGCCGTTTGGGGCAGACTTTCAGGTTTTGGTGACTTGAGTCTCAAACTCACGTAGCTTAAGCCAATTTGTGCGTTCTTCCCCAGCTGCGTAAGGCTTACCGCCTTCGCGCGACACAGCAGCGAGAACCCTGAAACCTGACTGCGTTCCTTGTTGCTTCTCTGTCGGTTTCCAGGAGGGCGCACGGGCTGGAGAGCAGCGCCGGGCAGCCACACAGCGGGGGAAGCGAGGGCACCGCAGACCCGCTATCCAGGCCAGCAGGCACTCCTTGCCTCTCCTACGGCCACGCGGTGCTACCCAACAGAACCACCGCTCTCCCCCCGGGAGCCAGCCCCAAACCAGCACGTTCCCTCCCTGCGCACCAGCGCACACGGGCAGGCGGGCAGGCAGACACACACCGCGCTCGGCACTCCTATTTTCCAGCCCGGATTCACCGCAGCCGTCCGCAGGGGCGCAGCCCGTATTTCGCAGCCGCCGCGCGCACAGCGCTGACGACCCGACGAAGTCACGAGCTCCGAGAGAGGAGCCGGGAAGCGGCCATCTCAGGGCGCCGCCTCATCCCGGCCGCCCCGGGGCCGCCTCCCCCGGCCCGGCGCCCCGCTCCGCTCCCCGGACCCGCGGCCGCGCGGCGGTCGCCCGTGGCGGGGGCGGCCGGAGGGGTCCGGCGCGGCCGCCCCTCTCTCCCCCCGCACACCTGGAGGAAAGCCGCTCCGCCGCCGCCCCTCCGCCCCCGGGCGCTGCCCCGCACCGCCTCGGCCCCAACATGGCCCCGGCGCGGCGGGAGCGGACGGCGCGGCCGCCCCGGCGGCTCCGACACTCACCCTCTCGCTCGCGAGCTCGGTGCGGGCCGCCCGGAGGCGGCGGGACCGCGGCCGGCCGAGGCGCTGCGGGAGAAGGAGGCGGCGGCGCGGAGCTCCGGCACCGGGCGCGTCGGTCGGGCAACGTGCGGCATCAGTCATCGGCGCGGGGCGGGCCGGCGGCGCGCGGCACTCTGGGGGCTGCAGTCCGCCGGCGCTTCCGGCCCCGCGGCGGGCGGCGGACTGCGGCTGCCACGGAGCGGCTCCGCTCGGGCTCCGCCGGGATGAGCGCCGCGCGGCCGCGGTTCCGGGCAGCTCTGTCGGAGCTCGTTCCCGTGCGGGGCTCCGGCCGCGGCTCCTGCGCTGCTCCGCCGCGCTGGTCCGTCCGGCACCCTGTGAGCGGGGCCCGCCGCTGGGGGGAGGCACGCGTGGTGACGGGCGTCGCTCCCCTGGAGCCGCGCGGCTGCCCGCTCCCATCCCGTCTCTGCCCCGGCTGCTGCCGTGCGGGGTGGGCGCGGCCCTTCCGCGTGGGACTGCGGGGTGAAGCGCGGTGAGACGCGGCCGGAGCGTGGCTGGAAGCGCTGGTGAAGTCCGGCTCCGATTTGCGTCGCTCGGAAGAACCCGCGCCTTCCTGCCGCGCTGCCCCGGGCGCCCCTGCGCTTTGTCTTTCCCCGCGGCCTTTCCTCAGCTGCTGGCTGTTAATGCTTCACACACAAAACCTGAACAAGCCGCGCTGCACGATCTGTTTAAACGCAGCCTGTGCGTGAGGATGCTTCATATCCCTGTGTGGAAGCATACGCATGTTTCATCAGTCGCAAAAACTTGGCTCGAGAAAGACACATCAGGAGGTTACAGATGGTGATCATTTTCCGAAGCTGTCTCTGCCCTTCTCTCTATTTCTGACAGGTCACGGCAAAACACTGCATCTGAGCACAGGTTTATTATCTAAGTACGGTTTGACTGGAACAGATTTCAGATGCGTTTTCTGGTTCTTTCTTAAATATCTTACCCTATGGACATATCCTGGCCAGCATCCTTTTGGGACAGGGCTGAGGTCTGAAAGTACGTGGCACGTGGAAATGAAGTGCTGACGTGTTGGGGCAGACGGGGCTCTCACTTCCCGTTTGGCGTAGTGACAGTTCAACTTGCTGTGCAGGCACAGATCAGGCAGTTGGTGAAGGATGGCCTGGACTATTAACATACACATAGCCAGGTAAAGGTGTAAGATATGCATCCCTGCACTTCTGAAGAATGCTATCCAGTGACTGTCACACTGGGAAGAGAACTTTGCTTTGGGCTTTTTAATCTATTCACAGGTTTCAAACATTTTTTTTTTCCCAGAGCTGTGGGTGAAGACCACTTAAAAGATGGAGCGCTGTGCTCTACCACAGCAGGTTGGTCACTGTTTTCAGGGGCTGTGCCAGAACCCTGGGGACTCCCCGCCCCAAGCCCTGCCATTTCCAGGTGTGCCCTTTCCCCACTAACCGCAGCTGCATGTTTCTGAGCTTCTTTGTGATCCAGCCTCCTCTAGGGCTCAGCTTCACCACAAGCTTCCCCATCATGGGATCCACTGCTTGGCTGCCAGGAGGCAGGCAGCAGTTACATCACTGCCCAGCATTGATTAAGCAACATGTGACACAGCTCAGCAACCTGAACCTTAAGCCACATACCTGTAATAAGTCCTTTACACCGCCAATCACATTTTATCCTCTCTCATTCTCATTTGTTTGACTCGAGCATGTACCAAGCATATGCTTAACCCGTTAACTGCAGTGCAGTGTGTTCACTTCCAGCTGTACATCTGAAGTGTTGCCATTTTTCTGAGCTGTTCCTCCTGCCGCAACACCACTCATGTTTTGTGCAAACACTGTGAGCCCTTAAATAGACTGCAGACATGTTCCCAAGCTTCCCACTACTTCAGCTGCAAAGATCCGCTGATAACTTTTAGTTCAGAGCTGAGGATCACTGTCTTAGCCTGCAGAAAATACCTCGCCTGATCTGAGCTGATTTGGCAATTCATCTGCTTGGGGGCATAGCATGAACCCTGGAAGCCTGCTTCTTCTCCAGTTCATGATGCTGCACCCTGACTGTGTCAACAGTATCAGCACTTTCACTTATAATTGCTTCAGGCTCTGCTTCCTCTGCTGGCTCAGCAAGAGTTGAGGTAGCTGAACATGCCTTTACAAGGACCAAGCTAAGATGCAGGTCTCTGCTAATATGAAGCAATGCCATAGGAGTGCCTGTGCTGTTTCTGCCTGCTCTGTGCTATACAACATTTCTCATTGATGAAGGAGCACAGAGATGGGAAGTTTATGAGACAGAGGAGGCCTTGGTCCTGCTGTGGCCAGCAATCCCAGAGACCAGCAGGCATGCTGAGGTCTGAGGTGCCCTCATGTCAGAGCTCTGCAGTGAACCAGCTGGCACTGCTGACAGCTGTGGCCTCAGTGCCAGAGTGTGCATGGCTGCAAATCGTGCTCTGGTCCATATTAGCCAAGATTTGTTCTAGTTGAAAGCCCCATTAATTTGCAATTACAAGGTGGGTGACTGGTGTCTGCTGAGTGTCCTACTGCAACAGGTAAGTTGGGCTTTAAAAGTTTGCTTTTAATACTTAGTATATCTTCCTTAAGTGTCATTGTTGCCATGGGATTACTTGGAGGCCAGGTGTGGATGCCCATAGTTAAGAGAGTTTGGCAGCTGTTTCACGGATTTCTCAGTGTTTCAACTGTACTTTAAATGATTTCTATTTTAATTTTTTTAACTGGAACAACCTCACTGAATCAGGCACAGCACAGTACATTTGAAGTAATTTTATGAATGTGTGGAGAGTCAGAAAGGCCCCTGCACATAGATCTTAAGCACAGGCATTTCCAGAAAAGGGTGTGCACCTCTCCCTGCCCTCCCACTTCTGTTCTTCACTACATCCTGCTTCCCAATCCCTTCTCTCTCACCTTTCTCCCCCTCATGTCCTCCTCTCCTTAAGGAACCAGTAGCAGTGAGTATGGCATTAGCTGCAATTCTATTGTCTTCTGTGTCCTGTGAACACAGAGACTGTGAGAATCAGCCCCAGGGCAGGCTCCAGGCAGCACTGGGTGGGCATTTGTCTCTCCCGTTCACAACGGGCTCTCAAGAACTTGCAGTAACAAAGGAATCACACAAAACAGTCCTGCTGTTAAAAATCCTTAGCACCAGGAAGTCGTTCAGGCACCCAACGCTCGGATGCAGGCGCGGTACCCTTGCACTCCTCGCTGCAGGTATGAAGGACAACTTGCCCCATGCCTTTGCAGCATCCCTACCTGTTTAACCATCCTCATGCCTTAAGACTCACCAGCCCACAGAAGCCAAATTAACATTTATCTCCCGAGTCACGACCTGTGGTCAGCAGCAGCGGCGCTGGGTCGGTGCCGCGTGGCACAGCCAGGGTGTGACACAGCCAGGGTTCGGCACACAAAAGTGACCCATGTCTGTCCCATCACCCGCGGAGGCTCCGTTGTCCCCGGGTGGGGACCGGGTGCCGCCGGGCTCGCGGGGCTGTGGCGCCCTCTGGCGGCCCCCTGGCGTCAGCGCTCCTCTGGCTGCGCAGCGGCCCCGGTTCACCTCGCTCCTTTCACACACGCACTTCTGTTATCACTCAGAACGAACATCCCAAGGCCATCTGAGATACTTCCTTCGCTGAGCTCAGCGGTATGGAGTGTATTTATGTTTCTTCAAAACAGGAGGCATCATCTGCACTGTAGGCAGTCTGCAGGGAGATTAAAGAGCACTTTGCTGCTGGGAGAGATGCAGCCTGCTCATTCTTCACGCAGAGGCCGGGACAGGCAGACATTGCTGATAACCACCTTAGAAGATTGTCAGCCAGGCTCAGAGGGCGGCATGGTATCAGTGCACCAACTTCTGAGGGCCATGACCCCTAGCAGCACTGTGATACTCTCGGATTTGTTCCTTCAGCATAGCACTGGAGGCCATGAAATGCTGCATGTGGCTAGTACTGCTCTGATGAAGCTGAGCTGGGAAATTGCATGAGCCAGGCTGCACAGTGGATTGGCTCAGCCTCTTCTGAGCTTCACAATTTAATCTCAACCTATTTACTGTGCTTGGTGCCAGTCCATCACTCACGGCCCTGTGAAGCAACAACACTGGAGGAAGCCGACGGCAGTAGGTAATGGCTCAGAGAGAGTGGTGAGGTGCTGGAACAGACTGCCCAGAGAGGTTGTGGATGCCCCGTCCCTGGAGGTGTTCAAGGCCAGATTGGATGGGGCCCTGGGCAGCCTGGTCTAGCATTAGGTGGGAAGGTTGGTGGCCCTGCCTGTGGCAGGGGGGTTGGAGATTCATGATCGTTGAGGTCCCTTACAACCCTGGCAATTCTGTGATTCTGTGATACTCTAAACCCCGGTCAACACAGGCAGGCATGCAGCCTGCTGTGTCCATATGGAACTAGATAGAGCTGATGGCACCAAGGCTTACAGCCCCCTTGTTCTTCCTCTGCTTCTTCCTCTTCCTCTCCCTCTTCCCACTGAATTAACAGCAGACTGGTGCAGCACAACACTGTGCAGCCTAGAGTATGAAGAGATGCCGACAGCTGTGTCAGCACAGGGCTGCATTCCGGATCATTTGTGTGGGAGGCACACGGAGCGAGCAGCATTGGGCTGATATGACAGCACTGGGCTTCCCTTCTCCAGGAACTGATGCAGCCCAGGAGTAAACCAGTTTCTGCTGCTTCACAGGGAAGGCTGGGAGAGCAACAAACAGGACGTTTGCAGCAGCAAAAGGGACGTGCCCCAGAGAGGGAGCCTAGGGTGGCACCAGTGAATGTTTCTGTTTGCCAGACATAACCAGCAGTCCTACATTAGATCACATTAGAACATCTTCCAAAGTAGGCTTTGGAAAACAGAGAGACAATGGAGCTATTATAGACGGTCTTGTTCCTACACACAAACAATTAATCCACGCAGTGCTGTTTTCAAATAATAACAGTCTGGATTAGAACCACAGAGCAGAAAAGTCTGGGCTAAAGCCAACTTGCAATCCTTAGCACACGCTATTCTGCCTCAGATTTGAAAGCCATATGACCTTATGAGAACCTTTTGGTGTAATCACACTATATATAAATAAATGAGTTAAAGATAAATGCAGAGTTATGAATCACTAAAAATCACTGCTCATGTTAATGTGAA